TTTTTAATCATTCTAACCACTTAAATCATTCTGCATCAAACCATTCAGTGATTGCCAAACAATCCCTTACTTAAATCTTATTCGATAAAAATATTAATGTTGGTTTCATTGTTACTGAACATTATTTAATTATCGACTAGATTTTTTTATTTAATTATATATAAATCAGATATTATTATTTGTAACAGACAAAATACGTAACATCACACATAATATCATCGAAAATAAATAAAAACGATTAATTTAAAATCATTAAATAAATCCAACGCCTTTTATTCTAAACAAATTTGCTCTCTTTTTTTTAATACATCATAAAAAACAAAAACCCATAACAAAACAAGATCGGTAGTTATAACTTTTATTAAATAGAAATAAATAAATAAAATATTGAATTTACTTTTCACATTTAAAAATTATAATATTTTTATTTAAAAAAAACTAGTTGTGTACCTGCACAATGCAGCGGGAGCCGTGAATTTTAACGATTTTGAAGTTTCACTGGTTTTATTAAAGAAGAATTAACGATGATATAAGTTACACTTGGTCTTTATATATTGATACAATTTGAATAAATAAGAGTTATGGTTCCAATTATAGTCTGTTGATAAAAAAAATTGTATGACAACTTAAAATCCAATATATTTAAAATCCAACATATTTAAACGACTCAACAAATGTGTTCGATTTACACCAAGAACAAAGAATCAAGAGATCGAGACCGATACCGAGACCGAGACCGAGAGTTCTAGAGCAATTGAGTGAGAGAACTTTTAATAACTCATAATGAATATTAGTTTGAATCTCATCTTGGGGGGTGGGGAGAAGACAGATGTATGAGAAAGTGAAATCATGAGTGAAATGTGTCAAAAGTATCTTGGGAACATGAAAAGAAAAATTAATAATGTGCATTGGTAACTTATACTATATGTCATTTTAATTGTAGATTATGAGATTTTAAGACTGAATGCATGAAGTAGTACTACTTAATGTATTATGAGTTGTTTTTACGATTTTTAAGACTTTGTGCATAAATGTATAATACTTTGTGCATTAAAAATTGTTTTTAAGACTTTTGATAAATCTGGTTTATAAGGTAGTATAGATATAACATTTAACTCAATATATAATTTATTAATTCATTTTTTGAAAATTTAACAGATCGTGTTTCCGTGTTTGTATTTCTACAACAAGTTGGGTTCTTAATGCAACAACAGAAACTCAGGTCATTCATTAAATTAGAGACCGAGCTTATTAAAAAACTGCAACTATTGAGACCCAGCTCATATAATAAATTACAAATATAATGATATAACTTGTTAAAAAAAATACAACCATAAAGACAATGTCGTTGAATTTCTAAAAAAAAGAACAAGGAATGTACAAAACATCTAATCAAAGGTGATGCCTGACTGGTTTGATTTTGAGCTCCAAAGATCAAAATTATCTGGAGGTCTCAGGTTCAAATCTAAAAAGAAATAAAAATCTCCTTGTGGCTATTGAGGTTCACATGCAGTGACTTCAGGCTACCCTCAAAGCAAATGGTCGTTTTGAGATTAGTCGACTCGCTTAACGGGTTGGATATCCAAATTAATAAAAAAAATGACAAAACATATAGTTTACTCTAAATAATTAATATTGACAATATGTTTTAATAAATAAAAGAGATTAACTAAAGAAAAATATTATTACTTTAAGTTAATTAATACTTACAATATTTTCAAACCATTTTATTAAAAAGAAACATATTATTACTTTAAATTAATTTATCCTTATATATATATATATATATAATACTTACCTGGTCAGATTTTAGTCTACCAAAATGTCATCGTATGTAAGAACTTACCCAGTAAGAGCTAACTGTAATAAGAGTTGTTGCTATCACTTACCGGGTTGCCTTCACTCTTACCAGGTAAGATTCTTGGTCTTTGTCATATTCATCCAATGAGGTAATATGACTTGGTAAGCGCTTACCGGAGTAAGCATTTGGTAAACGGCCCCTAAGTTTAGGTGCAACTAGACCCTTCTTTTGCCCTTGCCATTAATGGGTTAGTTGTCTGCTAAAAAACGTGCCACTAATCAGCTATTAAGCTCGCTGAAACTACAAGTTGTTAGGTAAACCATCCATAAGTCATTTCATGAGAATACTGTGATAAACATGTCATAATCATAGCACTAACGTTTTGTATGCCACTCATGCACATAACATTCTGAAAAACGTTATGCACATAATACACATGTTTATAAACATTATAAGCATTTGACATCTCATATATTGGTTAGTTGGAGTCTCGATAGGGCATCCAACACGCATGTAAAACCATTTTTTTTGTATAACACGTTAATCATACTAAACATCGTTTACCATGCTATAATAATTTAAAACAAATAAACACATACCATAAAAATTTGAGTTTTAGGGCTTGTTTGTTTTTCGGAAAAAACCACTTAATGCCTCTTAAGTCTGAACCGGTCAGACGTTTTTATTTTCAGACCGTTTGTTTTTTTTATATAAATAAGAGCTGAAAAGCTCTTAATTTGCTCTGAAAAAAAAGTGATAACATAATCACTTAAATCCTCTTAATCGCTCCCTCCAGACTTTCCCCTCCAGATTTAGTCCTCCAAATCTATCTCGCAAGACATTCGATCTCCAAATCAATCACGACCCAGATCGATCCACATATTCTCGTAAAATCATGACCCAGATCGATCCAAATCTATCAGATCCGAAACTTGACTGATTCAGATTTCATACTTCAGACGTAAAAACAAACAGTCTGACTGATTCAGATTTCAGACTTCAGTACCACCTCTTAAAATTCAGAAGTGAAATCAGACTTCAGACTTCAAAACCTCTTAAAAAACAAATGCCACCTTAGGGTATGAAAACATACGTGGTTCATACTGAACTTACCAAAACATACTTAGGTGTGAATCCCGGTTTAAATCACATGGAAATTCACCTCACTGTGTGTTTTCATTGTTTATGCTCACAACACAAACTATATGTTAGTGATATGCCTAAAAACTGATAGTTAGATAACTGTAAATTGAATTATAATTAATAAAAATGTATTGTCTAGTTGTTATATTTATTATATGATCATGTATTCTACACATGGTCAGTCATGGGATTTCTCATGCCTTGGACGAGAAGGTAAAATAATGCTCCCACTATTTAAAAACTACAAATGAACATACTATTTAAAATAATATATAGTCTTAGGCAACATACCACATTATGGGTGACAACAAAATTCGAATTACGACCAAAGGGCTTTTGGCCTAGCGGTATATGAGTCCTTGGCCTTTTAGGAGGTCAAGAGTTCAAACCTCACCAAAGGTGAGGAGGGTGTGTGAGTTTATTTGTTCTATTTGCCGTATATAAATATTATATACTTCAAAAAAAATTGGAATTACGAGATTCAACATTGAATCAAGAAATAGAATACAAAATTAAAAATAATATTCGAGAATCATATTTTTGACTATGGAAATCACAAAAAAAAAAATAGTTGAAATTATATAGTAATCTAAAATATTTCATACATGGTTTGATTTTAGAAAATATAACAAAAAATATTTGTAGTTTCGAGTTGAATTAGTCAGTGGTCTAAATTATTTTATGTAGAGTTTGATCGTATTAATTCTCTGAATCGTTAAGATGTGAATCTTGTTTGACATAAAAAAAGTATGCCTAATGGTTTTAAAACCCTCTGAATGATTTTGTATCATGAATCTCCTTTAATCATTAAAAGCCCTAATTTCATTGTACACAATTACCAAATAATTACATTTCATTTGGCACTATATCATGAGAGCTTTTTAATCATTCTGATCACTTAATCATTCTGCACCAAACCATTTAACAATTGCCAAACAGCCCTTTAGAGTTTAAGTCTTGTAGTTGTCATTTTAAAACTTTTTATTAGTAATAATATCACTGAGCTTAAATTGATACCCCTTTTGATGATAACTCCGATACATCACAACAGAGTGACATAATAGTCATTTTTTTTATTAACCTTGATATCCAACCCGCTATGCAAGTCGACTAATCCCAGGGCGACCACCTGCTTTGCAGATAGCCCGGCGTCACCGCATTTGAACCTCCGTGGCCACAAGAGGATTTTTATTCCTCCTTGTATTTGAACTTGAGACCTCCTGGTACTTTTGACATTTGGAGCCAAGTTCAAACCAATCAGACACCACCTTTGATATGTGATAATATATAAGATGACTTGCATTATCAAATTTATGATTTGTCCTTTCTACTGACAAGAGTAGTGCCTACTGGCCCCTTGATAGAATGAGATTGAGAAAATACATGCATGTTTACATAGACGATATATGATATAAAGATATGTATGAAGTACGATATTATAAAATTTTACACTGTAAGACGAGACTTGCATTATCATGTATATGATTTATCAGACACAGATTTTCATAGTTTAGTGAATAAGATCTTACTCGCTAATTCATCAGCACAAAATCTGTTAAATAGTTCAATTGGAGGCAAAACACAGTTTTTTCTTCATGCTATGTCGTTGGATTGAAAAGCGATACGGACAAATAACCGATAACCGAATCGATAATTTCGGATTCAAATATAATTTGGTTTAGATTAGGGTTCAATCAGGGACGTTTTAATATTTTTGGAGGTCCTGCTACATCCAAAACTTTTGATTACATTACATAAATGAGATAAAAAAATATATGTTAAGAACAAAAATGGACTAAACCAAAAACGATTAACAATATAAACTAAACCTAAATCATTAATGATTTGAACTTAAAACTAAACAATTAATGGTTTGAACCTAAATAATTTCAGCTATAGTTTTATACAGGTCAATAAAAGACCTTGATCACATGTAAATTTGGGTCCCAAAATTTCGAGAACTTATTCAAAATCTCACATTTAACATGCTAAGGAACGACCCGAGTTTAATTATTTGATTTTATTGGGTCAAAATACACATTTTCCGGTTCAGGTTGGGGTTTGGGATCCGACGGGTTGGGTCGAGTTTTAAACTGTACCAAAGAATTCTCCGGCCTCCGTCCTCCTTCGATCGCCACCTCCACTCCGCTCACTTCCTAACCAATCTCCGGCAGCGATACTCCACGGTACTTCCTGCAGATTCTACCTACACAGAGGCACACACACACACACACACACACACTCTTACACTCACATGGTCATGCATACAAACCACGCACACCCATGGCAGTTCGGTGTCCATACCACAATCACGAATCACTTGTTACTAGTAGTTCCTAATTTGCTATTTAGTGTAAGGATTTATTTTGTGTGTTAAAGATCGATATCGGTTTGTAGTAAAGGGACTTTTGCTTCAAGTGATTTCCCCAATTTGCAATTTTTGTGTATGTTAGGGTTAGAACTTCCTCCCAATTACGAATGCAAGTGCAAGATTAAATTGTTAATGTTTAGGTTGCTGTTTTTCTGTTCTGTTTCTTTGGTATTGTATGGATGGGTAGATTGCAGGTGGTTTCAAATCCACTTCAGTTTGAATTGTTTGTTCAGTTTTGATAAAAAGATTTGACCGTTTCAAAGAAGAAAAAAAACATGAATGCTCAGATATGGAGGATATACATGTGAACCGGAGTCCTATGGTTTCACCCTCCCAATGAAATTTTCTATTCTAGCTGTTTATACTTCTTATGAAGATATGGCGTTAAAGGAAAGGCCCTGAACCAATTACTGATGTTTTGTTTTGCCATTCTCGTTAGCATTATTGATGATTGTATTGCCACAGTATTAACAAGAACCACCTTATGTTAACTAGATGAATATTTTTCTGTAATGTTAACAGAGGAATTGAGAATCCTGTGCTCAAGGCACGCTGTAAAGTCTTAAGGAAGGTTGTCAGCAACAATGAGACTACGATATGCTATGGTATGCTCCTCGAATCAGAATCGAAGCATGGAGGCTCACTTCATACTCAAGAGAGAGGGTTTTGATGTATGTTCATATGGAACAGGCACCCATGTTAAGCTCCCAGGCCCTTCTTTAAGAGAACCAAATGTCTACGAATTTGGTACCCCTTACAAGCAGATGTTTGATGACCTCAGACGTAAAGATCCTGAGCTGTATCCTCTTTCTGTTTAAGAATATTCAATACTTACTTTAACTCCTTTTTTGATTGGCATATGGGGGAGGTTGAGACTCGAGACTTTTGACCTTAATAGGCCACAGATACGTCTTTACCACTGGACCGTCACCTTGGTTCATAATTATTATTCTATTATGTTATGGACATTGAGAAAATTAGAGATAATACAAGTGTGGGGCCGGTTGGGGTTGTCGGTGATAAATGTTTTCCTAAATTTGAAAGAGAGCTTCAATATTATTTTTGATGCGCTTGTTTCAAATTTGCAACTGTTGGCTTAAGATATTTCCAAAACATAAACATCTTATGTTTATTTTGTGTCCAGAGCTGATTAGGACCAGAGATGGCTGTAATATATTTCGATACAGAAACATCGTATGTTGTTTTGTATACAAAGCTGATTAGGACCCGGAGTAGTTGTTGTAAATTATTTTTTTGGTCCATAAGTTGCATGACTTTGTAAATGCCGTTGGTCTATGTTGACCTTCTTTCAGAAATTGCATCGAGTATTGCTTGATAATGGAAAATTTCCTTGTTCGATTGAGATACAGGACAATATCTTGTTGATCTTTTAATTATTATTACTGTGATTGTTGGAACTAATAATTGAAAACAAACACATAATTTATATATTGTTGTAAATGATAACAAGTGATATCCAAACTCATACATAAGTAAAATAAAAAACCAAGTAGAAATGGAGGTACCACTTCAATAACTTATAAATTGAAAACCACATGGAGTAAGGGATGTAGTTGGGAAATCATATTGTTTAAGTCCTATACTTCATGATATTGAACGGACATTGCTATTCTTAATTATTGCATAGTTATAAGCGCAATGGCATACTCCAGATGCTCAAGAGGAACTTGGCGGTCAAAACTGCACCTCAACGTTGGCAAGAAAATGGCCCGGATGGGCACTTTGATGTTGTATTCACATTCGAGGAAAAGGTATTTGATATGGTTGTTGAAGGTTAGTGTTCAACTTCACATCTTGTGGGTTGCATGATATGCCAATGCAAGTTTGTAGTTCTTACATTTGTATAATTTGAGAGCTCCTAGAATTCCAATACAAAAACTTGTTTCCTCTAAGTTAAAAGAATCCATTGATGAATACAAGTTCAGAAAGTCAATTAATCACTACTTAATTGTTTGAAACACTTAATTCAATGCTTAATTGCTAATCGAATCTGTGGGGACACCTAACTCCTAGGTGGATGATTAAATGACCATAACTAATCGAAGCTGCATGGGTATTGATGCCTTGGTGGTCGCTTAAGTGCCCTTAGCTGTGATTTTTGGACGCTGCTACATGACATCCCTTTAGGCACAATATATCCATCAACTAACAGTAAAGAATTTGGTATAATTACTTTAGTCAAGCCTGTAACTTTCCCATGCCTTCCAACTCAGGGCACACAGATTAGTACATGGTTATTAGAACTGTGTATTCGCAGGACGGCAGGATAGGAATTTGGGGTTTTGAAATCTGTCGCAAATGGACATCGGTATTTGGGATACTTGGTTACATTATTACATTATTACATATGTATATGTAATCATTATATATATTCTTAACATATTGTATATGCACATATACTTAAAATCTAAATTCAATGGCGATTTAATGGTTTGATTTGTGGTAATATAGCATGTATGCAGCTATTGAAGATTAAGATTTAATGGTTTGATTTTGTGGTAATATAGTATGCAATCATTATATGGATTAATACATTGGAAACACATGATGTATTTAACATCTAGATTCATCGACAATATGCAGTTATCAAGGAATAAGATTCATGGTTTGATTTTGTGGTAATATAGTACAATACTATTACCATTGCTGAAAACAATATTAGTACATTTCTTATGTACCTATGGGTGCTATGTTGGATTTGGATCAGATTTCGGATCAATCTATATTGATTGACTGCCTCCATTATGTTGTTCCTAGCAAATACCACTATTTTTGGTTTTGGCTCTTCCAAATCATTCCCGCAGGAGATCCAAACCCTTTTTTTTTTCTGATCCTTTTAACAAAGTAGTATGATGTCCAAAGGTAAATGACCAATGATAGGGTATGAAAGAAGAGAAGATGTGGCTTTCAGATTTGAATTAGAAAGAAGTGTAGAGAGGTCCAAGCTCAATCAGGAAGTACATGCAATTGGAAATGAGTTAAAGAGAGAGCCAACTAGAAAATCCCATCTTTGACTTTTCTTCCTGATATTTTAGGCAGTTGATCTATACATTTGCAAAAAAAATCAAAGAAGAAGTAGAAGAGGATTTCGTGTTGACTAGAAGAAATTGAAGACGAGGACTAGATAAGAATTTAAAGAGGAGAAATTGATTTCAACTTGTCTCGTGATACTGCTGAGCTGTTGTTCATCTTCTAATTCCATAGCAATGCTAAACTCTAGATGTGGACAATTTCAAGGATGTCAAGAGAAGATGTTCCTAGGCGTCGAGTTAGGAGCTTGAGTCAAGGGGAGGTTTGGTTGGAGGTCAAACATGAACATACAATCCTACATTTGACCCAAAACCAATTGCTCTCTGTTTGGAATTCAAGTGTTTGATTTGAGTTTGTGCAGTTGTGTTGTATAGTTTAGGACAGTAAGATATGAAGTCCTACGATAGTTTACTTCTTGTAAGATGGTCAACTAACGTAGCACTTAGAGTTGTGATTTGAGGCTACAATAAGTGCAAACATCACTCATTTGTGTAAGCTTTGATGTTGAGGATTTGTTCCCGGTTAATTAAGGGGGTATTTGTTTTCAACTTAATAAGCTTAATGGGCGGTTAGCTTAACTGGTTAAGTTATATTAACGTGTTTGATTTTAATTTAATACTAAGAGATTGACTTAACATGTTAAGTTAGCCTATCCTATCTTAATGCATTAACTGGGAATGTTTTCCAAAATTATCCTTGTTTTACAATTTTAATTAATCATGTGTCTCATCAAAATATAAATAGTTTATTGTTTTACATAAATTAAATATTTATAAATTAAAATGTGTAATCAAACAGTAATACTTTATTTTTTTACACATATCTTAAGTTATTAAGTATTGTGTTATAAACTC